GTTACCCTTCAACTCCAGACAAACTGGAGTTAGTGTTCTCTGAACAGGCCTCACATTTTATAGTTCTCTCTTTGTTCACGTTTCTTCCCTCTTTCATATATATATAAATCTAGCATTCTAAAATGGCCAGGTATTTGGCAGTCCTCGATGACTTCATTTTTTTGTGGTTATTTCAGAATAAAGTGGGAGAGTTTACTCATTTTTTTTTTAAAGAATTTATTTATTTGGGAGAAAGAGTGCAGAGTGAAAGAGAGCGCACACAAGCAGGGGTGGATGGGCAGAGGGAGAAGCAGACTCTCTGCAGCGCCTGGGTGGCTCAGTCATTAATCGTCTCCCTTCGGCTTAGGTTATGATCCCAGGATCAAGCCCCACATTGGGCTCCCTACTCAGTGGGAAGCCTGCTTCTCCCTCTCCCACTCCCCCTGCTTGTGTTCCCTCTCTCGCTGTGTCCCTCTCTGTCAAATAAATAAATAAAATCTTAAAAAAAAAGAAGCAGACTCTGCTGAGCAGGGAGCCCAACACGGGGCTGGATCCCAGGACTCTGGGATCATGACCTGAGCCAAAGGTAGATGCTTAACCAACTGAGCCACCCAGGCACCCTGAGTTTACTCATTTTATATAAAAATCTTTCTCAAATGGAAAAGGCCCCTTCCTATCTATGAAACATAATATGGAGGCCAGGATAGATCTTGACTTTCTAAGAGAAGCTAACTGAACATCAATTTCTGGAGTTCTCTGCTGATATGAATAAGGTAAGTGCTTTACTTCCATGAGAAGTCTGTGGGGGAAAGTGATGCTGTTGGTGGGAAAGCATAATGGAAATCCTGATGGGATGTGCTACCTGTGATCCAGGACCTACAGAGTGCCTTCATTTGTCCATTCATTCATTTATATTGATTCTTTTGTCCAGTAAACTTTACAGAGTAGTTCAAATGATCTAGCTCTGTGTTAGACATCGGGGAATGTGGAAATAGAAAAGACATGTTCCCTACCACCACATTGGTTCAAGCACAATGGAGAAGAGAGGTACGTGACTAAGTAATAACAATATAACATACAGCTCCCAATATAACATAAGGGAGAGCTAGTACTTTTTATTTTGAAGGTTTTAGAAGAGAGGATTTTGAAATGGGCTCCAAAGCGTTTCCACAAGTGTAGAGTTAGTGCTGGGTTTTAAGGATTAGTTGGTGGTTAGCAGGCCGCAAAGAGGGAAAAGAGCTTTTCTGGAAATAGCAAAGACCTAGAAATCTGAGAGCAATGTCCAAGGATGCATAAGAAAATAGTGCAAGATACCGATTCTGTATAAGATCTGCCGAGGTAAGAGCTACAGCAGAGACAGCATCCAGGGCAGAGCTGTGAAGTTCAGGTTGACTGAACCGAATCTGGGTTGGATGAGTTTGACTGTTTGCCCAGCGGTGTCCAACTGTACAACACAATCATCTGGGGAACTACAAGACAAGACTATAGCTTGTACTTTTATTGCATTTATATCTCATTCTTTAATTTTTGTGTATGTTTTACAATATACCTAATGTCAGCATGTGAATCTAATTTATGAACAGCCATAAAACAGCCATATATTGGCAGTGTATGGTCAAAATACAGTTAGAGTATGTCATGAAAAGGGTTGGAGACTACAAAGTTAGTCACCTTATAGATTTCTCTTAGGAAGGACTCTTTGGTATGGAATACTCCAGGGGTTGGCCTTCTCTGACTCTGCGTAGTATTGTCTGTCGTTTTGCCCAGAGATGTAGTTTTTGATCTCTCCAGGGGCCTTATGGACAGGCTCAGGGTGATGAGAGGCTGATGACTTAGAAGACTGTCTCTTGTTTGCATGCCCTCCTGGGATTTAGACACGTGAGTCATTTGGAGACCGTATCTGTACTAAGCCCTCCTTGTCAAATTCTGTGGCTTTCTACTGACAGCAATAGTTCTTTGTACTTACAAAGTCTTCCTCACTTTGGCCTGGAGATTCTTCCCATTTTCTCTTTTGGAATGAGAAAGCAGAACAAGACTTTTAGCTTTTAGGTGCTTGAACCTTAGGGGCAAGAGGCCCTGATATCTCGCCTTGACTACTGAGTGAGTGGGACACAGGGTTGCTCTCTGACAAGGATGCAGCCCATCCTGGCTTGCTTCGCTCAGACTGCAGTGACTCTGGATGGCCACACCATGCTGCCAAGCCTACTTGGATAGGGTGTCTGCCTAGGTAACAGAATGATCGCATGCACACACACGGAACAACTATCTTGAGATTTATCCTGACACGCTGAAGCTGTTATCCTTTTCCCAATAGCTTAGCCCCTACATAGGGGCTGACTGTGTTGAGAGTCCATCCTCACTGGAGTGCGGTGGCCCCCTTGCAAGATCCTCTGTCTCACTTAATGTAGTGTTTAGAGCAGTGGTTCTCAGCCGGGGGGTGGGGGCATCCTGTCCCCCAGGGAACATTTGGCAGTACCTGGAGACATTTTTGACGGTCACGAGTGGCAGCATGCTACACCTAGGGGCTAGGTGCCAGGGAATATTGTTATCCACTCTCCACTGCAGAGGACGGCCCCCACAACAGAGAATTGTTCTGCCCAAAATGCCAGTGGTGCAGACTGAGAAACTCTGGTTGGAGTGCCTCTGCCTGTCTCCGCCGCAGCAGAAGGTGCAGCTCGGGAGGAGTTCCCGCACGCCAGGCGTCTCCATGCTCCCGCTTGCATCGAGGCATCCCCCCAGTAGACAAGGGGCCCTTGTGGCTCAGCTGGCCTCAGGCCTTTCTAGCAGCAAAATAGTGGCCTTCTTCCCACTCCCCATGCCAAGCAAAAAGGCCCCTTTGTGCGAGACACGGCTGAGCGCCCTTGGCAGCAGTGGCGGGAGCGTGTTGTTCTCCGCACTTCACAGGCTGGTACTTGTCCGTCTGCCTCAGGTCTGTGTGTCACTCGGCTACGCCTTCACTACCTGGCATTCCAGACTGTGGTGAACGCGCGCATTTGTCACCAGGTGTGCACAGAGGCAGATACATTCTTTCTCAGGAATAAAAGGCTGATACGTCCTACTTTTTTAACCCTGCTCTGTCCTCCCTCCTCTCCCAAACCCCAGGATTTGAACGTAGCTCTTGGACATTAATTTCTCTCTTCTTTTCAATGTTTTCTAGTCTGGGAATTCGAAATTTAACCAAGCGATGACCAAGCGCCCCTTGCTTAGCCTCTGGGATCTTGTCCTCTGGGATGCGGTCTGAGGGCACTAGACCGGCCTCCCTTCCTCCCCAGGCCCCTTCCCCTTCTCACCTCCTGTGCCTCTGCAGATAGTTTCAGGTACCTCCAGAGTCTCTCGGCCTCAGAACTTCCCTCCTGAGCTCTAGAAGCTTCTTGAGGACGTTAAGAGATTGGAACGTTTTTGCCTTCAGCCTTGTTTCCTGCAGGATGTCTGAGTGTATGCTCTACACCATGGGCTGGGCTCCACTGGAGGAGGTGTAGGAGAACGAAGGGGCAGGCCCAGCCTTCCAGCTTCTCCAGCTTCCATGAGAGTGACAGAAATAGCCCAGCATCCGAGGTGTTGCACTGTGTATTTGTTTAAGGAGATTGTTGTTTCTGTTTGCGGGCCCACAATCAGAATGTCTCTGGAACTCCTCATGTGGGGGTCGTTATTCTTTGAGTAAATTCTTATTGATGCTACTATATAAGAAGCTCTATTTTATTTTATTTTATTTTATTTTACTTTTTTAAAGATTTATTTATTTGTTTTAGAGAGAGAGAAAGAGAGTATGAGGGAGAGGGGCAGAGGAAAGAGGAAGAGAGAGAATATTCAGGCAGACTCCCCGCTGAGTGCAGAGCCTGACCCAGGGCTCCATCTCACGACCCTGAGATCAGGACCCGAGCTGAAATCGAGAGTCGGATGCTTAACCGACTGAGCCACCCAGGCGTCCCAGAGAATCTGTGTTTTAGAGATAGTGGGGTGGGCAACAATCAATAGGACATAGTCCATGTCTTCAGTGTTGTCTGACTTTTAGAGGGAAATTGGACAACATTCTGATGAAAGGCAGTTTTGGGGAAAGACATGGACCTTAAGAGAAGAGAGTGAGAAATCTCACCATTTCACTCTGCTTCAGAACGTTTTTGGCTTCTTCCTGCTCACAGCAGTAGTCTTCAAACTTGAAGAATGCACAAATCCCTTTTAAGGGAAATAATTTCTCTTGGACCTACAATGCTGACTTAAGTTGTTTTTATTATAATTATTATTTAAATGTGTACAAACATAAAATGCGGTTTAAGTTGCTATATAAAATTTGTATACAAATATAAACAAAACCAGATTCATCATTAAAAGCAAACTTCAAATCCAATAAAAATGGTATCTTTTTGCTGAAACTCAGTTGCTCCCACGTTTTTTAAGTTCAGCATGCCAGTATCAGTGGGTGTCATCTGATACACATATCCTTGTATGTCATCCAGCCAGCCAGCCATCAATCTATCAAGTAGAGAGAGAGAGAGAGAGAGCGAGAGAGCACAAGAGTACATGATGGCTTAGAGCAAGGGTATGGAGCCACATTGCTTGAGTCCAGACATTTGCTTTACCAATTCCTAGCTGGGCAGCTTTGGGAAAGTTATATATAATGTTTCTGTACCTCAGTTTCTTCTTCTGTAAAACAGGGATAAAATGGGACCTATCTTTCACATGGTGGTTGTGAAGATTAATGAGTTAATATATATGAGGCTTCTAGAACAGTACCTGTCATATAGTAGGTGCCACAGAAAGGATGGCATTTATTAGTATTACTGTCATTATTCTAGTTCAAGATGATTTCATCCCAAATGCTGGTAGAGTGGAAGAGCAAGTCCGTCCCCTATGGGTCAAACAAAAAGTACAGTATGTACTCCTTTCATAGTTAGGATTTTGTGGGGGGTGGGGATGGTAAACACATAAGCATGCAGTCAGTGAGAAGGCTGATGTGACTGTGATGGTAAGTTCCGGTAGTGCTTGTGTTCTGGAATCAAGGCTTTGCTCATCTCTTCCCACAGTGTACAACTGGACCGTGGATGAGGTGGTGCAGTGGCTGATCACGTACGTGGAGCTGCCTCAGTATGAGGAGACCTTCCGGAAGCTGCAGCTCAGTGGCCATGCCATGCCGAGGTCAGGAGGAGACTGGCTCTCTCTCCCCCAGGGGTGCGGGGGATGGGCTGGCGTCGGCTACTTTCAGGCTGCTCTGGCCAGTTACCCAAGGTTCCACCCTTTTCAGGGCAGAATCTGCAGACCTCTCTTCTTCTCGCATCCGTTGGGCACTTACTGTAAAGCATGACAGTTGCTTCTCATCCGTTCTCTTATGTAGTATTTCTGTCATGCCTGGGAATAGTACTAATAGCTGTCATTTATTGGATGCCTAGTACGTGGCAGGCACTCCTATTCCACACTTTGTATACAGTATCTCATTTAATTCTCACATCAATCCTGTAAGGTAGGTATTATTGCACATAGATGGTGAACATGGCTAAGTTACTTTTCCAAGGTCACGTGGCTAGTTAGAGGCAAAACTGATTGGAACCTAGATCTGGGTGGGCTTCAAAGCCTGTGGTGTTTCTTTCTTCTGTTGCTGTCCCTCCAGCAGCTGCCTCTTTTATTGCCCAGGAGCCTCGGGACTCTGTTAGCCTCCCCTGAATTATCCACATACCGTGTATCTGCTCTAAAGAAGCGGTGTGAGGCAGGCCTGACTCCCCTTGGCCCCAGCCTCCTTTCTGGAGTGGCTCTTGCAAGGGCTGTGGTGCCCTAACTCTGCCTCCTTCACAGGCACAGTGTGCCAGGGCCTGCGGGGGAGGGGAAGGGGAAGGGATGGAGCTCTGCGTGGGCTTCTTGTGGGATGTCAAACCTAGTGCCATGTGTCATTCAGTCATGAATCCATTTACTTATTCATTCGACACATATTTACTGCGTACCTGCTCTGTGCCAAGCACTTGTGCTGGGTGCTAGGGATAAAGATGACAACAGCCCACCCTTGCCCTCAAAGGGCTCACTGTCTGGTAAGTGCTGATTATGTACAATCTGTCATCTTATTACGTAGGTGCATCTGGTTATGAGCTTCAACAAAGGGGAAAGGGGAAGGTGAAGCGGTTGGAATGCCCACCCACGGCAGCCTCTGGCCCCAGAGCTACCAGGCCCTGCTCTCCAGGCCTAGTGGAGCTGGCTGCTCCCCATTCCGCTGCCTGCAGCCCTCTTTTCACAGCTTCTCCCTACTCTGGAGAGAGTAATAATCTTAATGTTGGTACATCCCCTTATAGAATACTTTCCTACCTGTTATTTCAGTTGATTCTCACAGTTCTGGGAGAAAGGAATGACTACCCCAGCTTTTGGGTGAGCAAACTGAATTTCAAATATTTTATGATTTATCCAAACTGGCAAGTGGCGGAGCTGGGATTTGAACCCAGGTCTGCCTGGTTCTAAGTGCCCTGCTTTTTTCACTGCATCTTCCTCTTGCCCCCATATAGTTGAAGATAGGCTTCCTGGAAATATTCAGTGTAGTTCTCTTTAACAAAACTTTACCCATCATCTACCCCGGGCAGGGTTCTCTCCTGGGCTCTGAGGACAAAGAAATGCATTAGACCCCCTTAAATAGATGACGTCTGACCATGAAGCTCCAGGATTTAGGTTTCTTTCTCATTACCCATGGAAATAGCAGCATTGCCTTGTGGATTCCTGGCTCATTCCATCTGGAGGAATAGCTATGGCTTGGATTAAAACTCAAACATAGGATAAGAAGTCAGTTCTCAGGTCATGGGCTCACGTAGCCTTCTTGTAGCTAGGATTAGATCCAAGACCAGACCCAGCCAGGCCAGGCAGAGGGGTAGAGGAAGCCAAGCTGTGGCACCTTAGTGACAGCAGGAAGCATGGAGCCTCAGTGCATGGCACGTGGGATGGAGTGGCAGTGGTTCTCAGCCCACCGCTAGGCAACATGGTATAATGGGAAGAATCTAGACGATTTGAGTTCATTTCCTGCCTTTGCCATTTACTTGCTGTGTGACTTTGGGCAAGTTACTCAACTCTAAGTCTCAGTTTTCTTATCTGTGAAGTGGAGCTGATGATAGAACTGTGTTCTTAAAGTCAGAGGACTAAATGAGTTATGTAAAGTGTGAAAACAGTACAAGGTACACAGTAGTTGCTTAGTAAATGTCAGCTCCTTTCTCATTTCTCTCATTGCTCAGAAATAAATAATATTCCAGTTCTTAGATTTCTTTGACAAATAGACTGTGGAAAAGATGACACTTATTTTGATGAGTTACATGGAGGCCAGTACACCTGGTAGAAGTGTTCTCTCCAAAGAGGAACCCCGAGAACTCTCAGGCTTGTAGGAAGCATCTGATTTTACATAAGTTTACACAGAAGGAAAAATGGGGCCCCAGAGGAGAGACCAAGCAGCTTATGATCAGACAAGTGAGTTGCTGACTCAGCTGGGACCAGAAGCTTGATCCCCTGACCCCTTGTCTCATTGCCTCTCATATAGACGGGCTTGATTGCTTCCCAGGGCTAGAGAGGGATGTAGCTGCTCCTGTACCCAGGCAGGAGTGTAAATCACACACCACAATGGCAGAGGCCTCTTTTCTACCTGGGGAGACAAAGCTATGCATCAGAAAAGAGCACTGCCTTCATGGAGTAGGGTAGTGGTAAATGCTCACATGTGGGGCCCGGACCAGTGCATTGATAACCTTTCATATCTTATACCCGTCTCCTTCTGTGCCCACAGTGTTCTAGCAAAAGAGAAACAAAGTCCAGTTTTTCCTGGGTCGTTTTCTGGTTTACAGACCCTCTCTTATTAGAGTTATCATGAATAGTGTGTTGAAGGTCATAAAAAATTACAGTAATCTGGGAGTAAATTGCAGTGACTCAAATACAAGATAAGAAGACTAATGCAATGTTTGTCATCAGCAGGTTTATACTTAATGGCAAAGGGTTAGGATTTGAGGCCGTCAGAATTGCTGGGTCACGTGGCACGATGTTTTGACCGGGGTTAGACAGGAGAATGCATTTACGAATGGTGGGAGTGTGGGGGCAGATGTATAATGGATAATCCCTGGCAGGAGAAACACAACAGAAAATTTACAGTTGGGGGTGGGAATGGTCACAGATGGACAATCCTCAGAGAGTAGGATTCTCAGGAGATGGTGAACATGGGCAGAACATATTCTCGGTACATGTTATGTGTCTGCCCCTCCTTACTCCCTGTTGAAAACCACTGGTCTAGACTCTGTGTTCTAGAATGCAGAGGGGAGCTGTCACCAGGAGCTAGAAGTCATGGAAGTGTTCCTGGAGGAGGTGGGTAATCCTACCAGTCTCCTTCCTGGTTTTACTGGCAGGAAACTGAGCCCCTCCTCTTTGCTCCAACAGGCTCGCTGTGACCAACACCACCATGACAGGGACTGTGCTGAAGATGACAGACCGGAGCCATCGGCAGAAGCTGCAGCTGAAGGCCCTGGACACAGTGCTGTTTGGGCCTCCTCTCTGTGAGTCCTGGGGAGAGAAGGGCTGCTGATGTGACATGGAACCCAAGGCTGTTGGGGTGGCTAGGCTGAGGTCCTGGGTCTCCTAGGCATACCTGCAAGGCAACACCTCCAGTCTTTCCACTAAGAAATTAAAATATGAAGTACCAAATAGGCTTATATTTTAATCCAGCCAGATGGCAAGGTCCATTCATTAGATACATTAAGAAAATACCTACTTTATGCCAGTGCTGTGCCGGACCCTAGAGGAAGGTCTGGATGAATCATATTCTGCCCTAAAGGGATAAAATGAATGTTCCAGAGAGGTGCACGATGCTTCTGAGGTCCCAAGGAGGGAGAGAGAAGGCATCCTGTAGAAGAGGTGGCATGTGACCTCTGCCTGTAAGGATGGGTAGGGCTTTATACCGTGCAGGTGGCAGGAGAGAACATTCTAGGGGGAAGAAACAACTGGAGCAAGAATACAAAAGCTGAAATATGAAAGGTATGCTCAGGGATAATAAGTAACCCATAGGGTCTGAATGCCATTTAGCCGTTCCTTGCTTTCACCGTGGACCTGCAGAGCATATGAACTGATTGCTGAACACCTTGTGTCCTTGGACCAGCCACAGACGACTAGGTGGGCTTCCACGGAATCATAGAGACACTCAGGCCTAAGGAAGGAGTAGTCTCTTCAGCCAGGGGTTACTTGAGAGAATTAGGTAGTTCAGTTCCTGAAGATCTGCAAGGTGGGAATGGCCAACCCTGCCATCCTTTTCCTTACTCTAAGTGAACTCTGGAGGAACAAAAGTGGTAAGATTTCTTAGAAGATTAGCCTTCACCAAGCAGGCTCCTAGGGCCCACTTCCTGCCCTTTGGGAGCTGTCGGCATCGGTTGAGGAGGCCAGCAGCAGAATGAAATAGAACCAGGAACGAGTCCAGAGAAGCCAGCTAGCAGGCAGGGGCGGAGACTGTAGAACATTTTCCCATCCGTGCATTTGGCTTGACAGGTGCCCAAGCTGGTCTCAATAGAGGTGGGTGGGTCTGTACTTTTTTTGTTTTTTAAATTTTTAATAAACTTTATTTATTTATT